GGGGGGGGGGGGAAAAGGAGGCCTTCCCCTCCTGGTGCTGATGCTGCCAGAGGCAGGGAAACCCCTGTGCCCTGCAGGGGAGGCTGAATGAACTCAGTAAAGAAGAGCTTATATAAAGGAATGCAATAAATCACAACATAGAAGTACATGTAATGATCCACACACTTGATGCTCAGTGCATCTTGCATTAGAAAACTAATGGCGGGAGTCTTCTTCCATTAGCTATTGACAGATCACGTCTATTTTGTCCTCTGCTGCAGAACCCCCCCCCCCCCACCATAAACCGTATGCAACATAGTAGATCCATCACTCCCTGTCAACGTTTCTCCTACTACTTTTACTTAATTAACACCTTATGGGTCAAATAAATGCCTTAAACTGAATGGGGAAAAGCCAATTTCTTTATCCAAGTTTTTTTTCTTGGCTATAAACTGCTGCAGAGAAGTAGAAGCTAACCAACACCACTCATTGGTGAGAGAGAACCAGCAGTTTGTCCAAAAAGAGGCTACATGTGGAAACTCATAAGCCACAGATTATCATAATGAAGCAGTAAACTGATTTGCAATTAATGTTTACACTTTGTTAATATCTTTAGTAAGATTTGTACTGCATTTAGAACATCTTTTCTTATCTTTGCAGGTAAAGAAATGCAGAATCACCAGGCTTCTTTCTCTCTCATGCTCAGAGTATGAGTAATTCAAGGTAAGAGTAGGCGTCTAACACAACAGATGCCTACAGCAAACCATCCCAACAAGCTTCCCCAGGACATCTGTTAAAATGAACGTAATGTCACCCAAGTTCTGCTGGGAGATGAGAACGTTGTTTGAGTAACAGAAGAGATGCCACAAACAATGACAAAGACACTTATACTGAGGAACATTCACTTTATGTGCTAACAGCAATATTATACTTCTAGGGACAAGTTAGGAGGCACAAATTACATTTTATAACAAGCAGCTTAAAAAAAAAAAAATAAGAGTAAAAAGGCAATTCTGTCCTCAAAAACAAAGCAATTAAACTGGAATGGAGATCAACAACACAACTAGAGACCTGCCAAAAATCAAAGCAGACCAATCACAGCACCTGCTGCCATTTTCATAGTTTTTCGTGGTAGCCTCCCCAACCCCCCCATGCCACTGACTGGCCAAGGGGTGGTGGCCCCACCTCTTGCCATTAATTGGCCGAGTGTGGCTCTGCCCCTCAACAGCCAGCCCTCCTGGCCACTCAGTGGCAGAGGGAGATGGGGAGGCCACCATCTTGGTTCCCTTTGTGCCAGCAGCTGTGAGGACTGCCGATGACTCGCACTGGTGAGCCAGAATTTTATTTTCAGTAAGTTTTTTTTGGGTTTCTTCCCTTTCCAGCTATTCTGCTTCAAATCACAGGGAGTGCTGCTTTTTGTGGAAACTGCCTCAAATTGTGGCTTCTGCAAAAAATGTAAAGTCACAATTTGAACAGGTCCCTAACAATAATATATGACCATGCACATTAATTTTGAATGTATTTATTTTTTCTTACCAAGGTAGACAGAGAGTGGAAATCCTTTGGCAATTCCATTGTAGTCTCAGTGTGCATTGTGAAATCACCTGAATCCGAGATAGGTGTAAGCGGCCTTATCTTTAATAGGTCACCTTTCTGTGATCTTTGACCCCAGGAGCTCATACAAACAAGTGCCTTGACTGCTTCTATATCATTCTGCTCCAGGGTACTACACGTAGACCTTTCACTGTCATGCCGTTGTCTTTCACGTATAGACTCATATATGTCCACAATGTCAACCTAAAGGCAATTGAATCAACAGCTGTTAGGACAAGTCAGAAAACAAAGCTGATACACTGTCTGTACATAATGAAGGTTGATGGGCATTGGATGCCCAAGGCAAGATTTTTGCCAATAACTCATTCTTGAGTAGGAAAACCTTTCCCAGCCCTTTTCTACAAAAGACAAGATGCAGTATGGTACAAGTAGCCTGGGGCAGGGAAGGAATGCCTTGCTGGACAGGAACCAACACACCTAGCATGTAGCTGAGGTTTCCAAAGTAACTTCCTTGGATTATGTTGCTCTAAAGAAATACATCATCCCCCTCCTTTACACTCTCTCCTCCACATATTACTTCCTACTTTGCTTGGACATGGCCACTTTCTGGATTGGCAAGAGACCGCTGAATTAAAATCAGTCTAATATTTACTACAGCTGAAAAAGGACAAGTTCAGAACAGAAAGGCAGGGCTCTCAAAATCAAAAAAAAGCCTGGCTGCTTTCAAGGTGCAAAAACAATTTCAGTCATTTATCTCCTATTTTACAAGTGAGGAAACCAAGGCAGGAATATTCACGGATACAGGGGCATTCTGAGGACTATTAATCTGTAGGGTACTCTGAACATGTAAAAACGCTATGCAAGTAACAAATGATATTAATTAGTGCATTTGGAGACAGGAGAGAAACTCCACTCCCTCCAATTGGTTTCCAAAAGTAACTGCTGTATTCATGTACTAGTGTCTGGGTCAAATTGTGATCTTTCCTTCTGTGGTGCAAAACTGAATGAGTTTTACAGAGCCTGCTGTGCTGATCCTAGCAGCCACAGACCATCACTGATATCTCTTTCCCCACTGTTCCCCATCATCCATCTTGCCTTAACTAAGGGTCCAATTCTCCATTCCTGAGCACACAGAACTAATGGGTCAGCTGGAAATCTGCGCGGGCAAGGAATGAAGAATCAGAACCTTGGACTCAAAAGCTCCTGTGGGCAATACTAAGATACTGCACTGACAACAACTAGCAAAACAGCTGAAGCAGAAAGGATACCCCGAGTAAAAACACTGCTTCCAAGGAAGTCAGAAAAAGTTTGATCGTTGACTACAGTGAGCCTAGGATTGTGCCTCATGACTCAGAGCTATCTGAGGCCATGCAGATAGCTAACTGTGTACATATAAACAGATACAGCAACACACACTCATGCCAGGCATATTAAACACAATGGGTGGAAAAGGCTGGTATCTGTCAGATCTGCAGGAAGTGCTCCAACCAATGACAAGTCATGGCAGATATGAAGCTTTCAGGGTTCAAAAATCCAATTAAAAAAAATCCTTAAGCCTTTTTTTTAAATCAATTAAAAGAGAGAAACCACTCCAAAAACCACTCCAGAAAGTGTTCTGGACCTCTCAGCTATGTTAATGATACAGCAGATCAGTCCCCGTTATTACTGCTGTAAATCAAAGACCACCGCCCAGAACACAGACCCCACTGGGCCGGCACCTGACCTGCACAGAGGTTTGTGCCAGCTCCTTCCCACCTGCCTGTGCTCAGAGACCCTCAGGCACAGCCCACTGCCACGGAAGACAGGACACAGACAGCTCGCGCCGCAGTGTCCGTGAAGGCACAACTTGCTTAGTACCATGCGCAGGAGTCAGCGACACCCGGGCACCGCTGCCACAAAGGTTTCCGAATAGACAGCTTGAAGCAAGTCCTGTCCTCCCCGAGGGTCATTCCCCTACCGTACATCCTCTTACACAAACCGGACCGAGCGCGGGGGAAGCCTGGGCGGGACTGGCAGCCACCCACAGGGCTGAGGGCGCCTGGCAGTGTGTCCTCACCTCACCCCGAGCCGAGCGGGGCGGGGCGGCGCAGACACTGCGGAGGAAGCGGCTCCCGCCCGCCGGGAAGATGCAGCTCCCGCAGCCGCGTGGGGGCCCCCATCCCCCCCCTACCAAAATATTGAGCAACTGAGGGCGGGCGGGATGACCCGCCGGGCGCGGCACCCGCCAAGCCCCCGCCGGCCGGAGAAGCAGGAAGCGCTCCCCGGGGGGAAGGGGACGGCGGTTCCTGCCCAGCCCCAGAGCAACACAGCCGCGAGGGGAGGGGGCTCAACCCGCCCAGCGCCTCAGGGACACCCCCCGGGCGGCCCGGAGCCGGGAGCAGTGGGCGCTTGTGGCGGGGACTCACCGCGGGCGCCCCGTCCATGTCTCCGCCGGCAGACCCGTGCATGGCGAGGCTGCGGCCGCGCGTTCACAAAGCCGCCAGCTTCTGCCGGCGCCGGCGCCGCCCCCGGCCCGGAGCAGCTCAGCCCCGGCTGCAGGGCCAGCGCGCGCCGAGCTCCAGACAAGGAGGGGGGTAGGGGGGAGGACTGTCCCGCCGACCAATCGCAACACGGCCGGGCCGCGGGCGAGCCAATCAGCGCGCTGGGCCGGCGTGATCGCGGCGTGCAGCCAGCCTGATCGCAGGAAGGGGCTCGCGTGGGCACGTTCGGCGGCAGCGGGGGCCGCTCTGGAAACTAGGGGA